AGTGTATGATCGCTGGAACTGAAATTACAGATACAGAAATACATCGAAAGGAAAAAGGGATTATCATCAAATCACTGAGAGAGAGGATCAACAGAGAACATTTTTATTTATAAGTTGTACGCCAAATAGAGGGATATTGTCTATTGTCTAATTAAAAATAAGGGTAAAAAAGGGAATTAAAGGAAGAAATCAGTGTAACACCCGTGTTTTTTCCTTAAGAACTTGTTTGTTAATCACATGATTTCTTCCCTTCATATGCCCTTAATGACACTGTAGAGCTCTTCATTCAAAATGAATAGAGGCTAATGACACTTTAATTAATCTCGTTCACTTGGTCCAACTGAAAAGACTGTTCTACTTTGTACAACCATGCTTTCAGCTCCTCTCCCCCAAAAAAGGGAAATTCAATTTTTGTGAATCTAGAAGAGTACTAGTGGGGTTTACCAATTAACTCTCGTAATTTTAGACCCTTTTTTTTTGTGAATTTGGGTTGAAACATATTTGTCTTCAGGGGAATTATTTATCATTCCTTCAAGGAGCATATTAGGTTCAATATTTCCCTTCTTAATTTGATCTTCCGTGAGTTGATTTATTTGAAGTGATAACCCATACATTAGATCACTTATTTTAGATATAGCTTTGGCGTTTTCGAAAATCCTCATTCTCTGTTGATGATTATGATTTTCAGTCCTAGCATTGAAGTCTCCTAAGACAATTTTGAGCATTACCTTTAGTTTAGAATTGTTTGTAGGGAAGTCAGGATGGCTCTGTGATAAGCAAAAAACCGTTCATGTTCACACAGTGGGCACAAAGACCCCACAATAGCGGTGCAAGTGCAAACCGATACTATGATCGCTTACAAGTAATATAGTGATAAAATACTGAGATCATTTTCACAGGGATTGAAATACTGAGAATCGGAGAATTTTATTAACTTCTTAAGCATGTTTCGCTTTGTGATTAAAGTTTAGTTTTTGTTTGTGAAAATTTTAAAAGACGGAATAGATTTGTAAATAAAAAATGGGAATGAGGTGTAAGTATTTCTTAAAACAAAAACAATAATATAATGGTCAGAAACTCATGAGCTATCTATAAAAATTCCAATCACTCGAAAGTGAAGTTTCATAGACAGTACCCATAAAGTTTCCAGTTTCATCACTCCAAAGCTTGTTGATTTGGCTAAGTAGATAAAAGTACCAAGTTCTATTACACTAAGAATTCATACTCGAATCTCTTTATAATATAGATCCTCAATTAATATGTGAACCTTAGCTAAATACGTATAAAATTCGTATCTCTGAGCAATTATCAAAGACTTTCTCAAATTTCTATGCATCATTTAAGCCGTATTTCAAATTCGTCCGTCTATGAATCAAGGATTTAATAGTAACACTTCAAAGTGAACAGCTTATCCACGTTGAGTTTAGTCTCGACTTAAGTGATCAATTTTACCAAGTGATAAAAATGAAAACACCCAAATGTTGCTTATAAGTCTTAAATTAGCTCACACCCACACCCATAGAGGTGATTAGCTCGTACTTGGCATGGAAAGTATATAATAGAAGAAAGGGAATAAGACTTAAACAACACTTTCATCAAGATAAAACAAGATTCTATCGCCATAGTGGTGAGACTGTTGGCAGAAGTTACAACTAAGGAAGCTTAGTACAAGAAACTAAATACCAAAGACTTAAAGCTTTAAATAAAACTTGGATAGAATCAACTCTAAAATGAGATACCATTCAATGGAACTCAAAGCCTTTTTAAATAGGAGATAAAAGGGAAGAAGAATGTACTCCTTTATCCAAAGGGAAATAGCCCATGGTTAAAGAGACATCCCACCTTCTTCTTTCATGCAACAATTAGAATGTCTTTCTTTCAAGTCAGCTCCATACTTTCTGAATTTTTCTTCAAGAGTACTGATTTATGATGTACGTTGAGAATTTAATGTATAGAGCACTCATTTTATAATTTTTAGCTAGCTTATTTTCCTTTTATCCAATCTTGAGTCATTTTATTACTTCATTTTCCCCTTATTAATTATGGAGATAAAAGTGTGATTTACTTGTCTTTTATACCATTAGAAGACTAATATGAAAAAAATGCAAGACTCTTTGCTGCTATACCATTCCTGCAATAGGGATTTGGTGGTTTTCGACTTTTTGAAGGGCTTATTGAGCTAAGCAACTGAGCACTTTTTTGTTTCTAGAAGTCCACAAACTGAAGACTTTTTGAGAGATTCAAGACTGCTAAACTCTTGTTAGGATTATATCACAATCTAGTTAATTTAATTGTACTTTATGTTGACTTTTGATTACTTTGGCCCCAAGTTTGACTTTTTGTGCCATATTTTTGTATAAATAAGGAGGTTGGGTCTTTGTATGTAGATTATCCAAAATCAATTCAAAATTGATTTCTCTCTAAAATTTGAAGCAACTTTAATATTAAGTCTCGTATTTACTTTTAAGTTTGTTCTTTACTTTCAAGTCAGTTACTTTCCGTTCTTTACTTTCAAGTCATTTACTTTCCGTTCTTTACATTTAAGTCATTTACTTTATGTCTTTATTTTATGTTATTTACATTTCTTGGTGATCCAAGTGCAAGTATTCAAACACGACATGATATAGGTAATATCTGTTTCTTTGTCAACTTTCTTGCTTTAGTTGAGTTCAAGAAGATCAATGAGGCTATCTCTGAACCTAGTTGGGCCATTGCTATGCAAGAGGAACTCATTGAGTATGATAGGAACCAAATCTGGTACCTTGTCCCCCGCCCATCTAACAAAACTATGATAGGCACCAAGTGGGTTATCGCAATAAGTTAGATGAACAGGGAATTGTGACCCGAAACAAGACTCGTCTTGTTGCTTAGGGTTACAAGCAAGAAGAAGGGATCAACTATGATGAAACCTTTGCACCAGTGGCTAGACTTGAAGCTATTCGACTCTTTCTAGCCTTTGATGCCCATAAAGACTACAAAGACTTTCAAATGGATGTAAAAAGTGCTTTCCTAAATAGAAAACTTCAAGAGGAAGTTTATGTTGAACAACCTCTAAGTTTTCTTGATCCCAAGTATCCAAATCATGTTTATAGATTGAATAAAACTCTTTATGGGTTAAAACAGGCCCCTCATGCCTGGTATGACACCTTCTTCTCATTTTTCTCATTTCTGAGAAATTCGTTAATGGAAAGATTGACCAGACCTTGTTTTTTAGGAAAGTTAAAGGTTACATCATTATAGTCCAAATTTATGTTGATGATATAATATTTGGTTCCACTAATCCTTTTTTGTGTTTTCGACTCACTGAACGCATGAAGAAAGAATATCAGATGAGCATGATGAGAGAACTAACCTACTTTCTAGGTCTTCAGATCAAGCAATCAAATAAAGGTATCTTTATCAACCAAAGTAAGTATGTCAAAGAGATGCTGAAGAAGTTTGATCTAACCAACAACTCATCTATGAAGATTCCATTGGCTCCTCCTCTCTCATTGAACAAGGATCCAAATGGAAAGCCTATAAATGTTACTGTCTATAGAGGAATAATCGGCTCCCTGTTGGATCTTACAGCTAGTCGTCCATATATTATGTACTCTACTTGTTTATGTGCACGATATCAATCTGAACCTAAGGAATCCCAACTGATTGTTGTAAAATGCATCTTCAGATTTCTGAAAGGAACTCCTAACTTGGGTCTTTAGTATCCCAAGAGTTCAGGTTTTGACCGTATTGGTTATTCGATAGTGATTTTGCAAGTTACAAAATTGATAGGAAAAATCACAACTGGAGGCTGTCAGCTTCTAGGTGGATAGTTAGTGAGCTGGACGAGTAAAAAGCAAAACTCAGTGTCCACATTAACTGCTGAATTTAAAAGTTCTCATTTTGTTATGTAATTTCTTTAAATTTTTTTATTATAATTTAATTTAAGTTTAATAAAGAAATAATTTATTTTTTATTTAATAATATAACATTTTATAAAGATAATAATTAAGTATTCTGTTAGAACTCAATGATTATCCTAATTATATTTTAGATTTTTAATATTTAAAAAGAGATGTTTATCCTGTATTTGATTATGTTTATCCGCAGTTAGTTACACGAATTCATATATGAAGCTTTAATAAGTTGTTCTTACGCACAATCTACTTGTAATATTGAGTTCTAAGTAATATGCATTAATAAACAGTACTGAACGCTAAAAAATGGTTTTTAAGAATTCTTGTCAAATGTTTTATAATATAGTATATTCTCAAAATCAAAATAATATACAATCCACCCCTTCATTTCTACACATTATCACCTAAAATTTCATATGAGTTGCCATCCCAAACCACTCTAAACAAACCAACCAAAAACACAGTATGAATAAATTATCGAGAATTTTCAACGCCGCTAGGCTCGCTTGTGCTACTTGTACAATCAAACTTGTCCAACAAAAAACGCTCCATAGCATGCATTTGACCATTTCTCTGTATTCTGTACAAGTTCATAGTTAGCATATCGCAAGATCGATCTATACATCTCACAGTTTCTTTGGGAGATTGTAGTTCTTTTTCAGGAATGTGGTAGCTGCCTTGTCGTCCCGATGACACAATACTCTCAAAATCGTGTTTGGTTCGATCGGACCCCACTGGTCGGTGGTCGGAGGCAAAGCAAGTCTTGATTTGGTGGATGAACCATTCCCATCAATCATCAAGGATTTGAATTTCTCCACAAGGCTACCTGTGTCGCTAGAGAAAAGGGGTAACACACCTTTCACTATGGTTGAATGTTTCCCTATCAAATCAATTGGCAATCCATCGCCATTCGACCAAAAAAGATCCATAAGGAACTGGAAATCTTCTTGTATGATCGACCAATCTTCTAGAGTGAAACTACGACAAGGACCTCCAGCAAGCAAAACCAACAAAAACCCCTCAAAAGAAGCTCTCATTATGTTTGTGATTAGACGTGTTCGAATTGTGTTATCTTGTACTGTTTCTGCTATAACTTCAAGATTTTGTTCTAGCTCTTGAAGAAAAGGTTCGATTCTTGAAGATGAAACTCCACCTACGTATAAACCGTCCCATAAGACATGGCTTAATTCATGAAATACGAGCTTATAAGCCGTTGCCTCACATACTTGCTGAATCCCTTCTACGCAAGCAACTAGAGATCGCTCAAAGTTTTTTCTTGAGCCATTTACGATACTACCCTCACGAATTCCGATGCTTTTCAAATGGGCGATTGTCCTCTTTTCCAAGACTTCTAAATCTTTCCTGATGTAATGAAAAGAATTGACGCGAACACACAACTGTGTTATACTGTAGGAATCATTTCTTTCTGTAGTACTCTGCATAGGTGTCCTCCGTTGACTTATGTGTGACCGGTCTTTCTTCTTGAATACGCCATTGAGTTTTGAGCCACCTCTACATCGGGTCAAAGGAGGCAATACCGGAAGAAAAGAACTTCGAGATCCTATACATATAACAAGAAAATAGTGTTTTTTAAGTATATAATATTTATATACAGTAAATGCAACAAATAAACTCACACACCCTCCTCACCTTTGGTGAGGTTTGAACCCCTGACCTCCTAGGAGGACAAATACTACAATACTGCTAGGCCAAAGGACCTTTGGTAACAAGAAAATAATTATTTTCTTGAAAATAAGTTAAAAAAGTAGATGATCATAATAATCTACAACTCTATCTTTAAACTTACCAGAACCCGATTTTGCCTTTAAAATGTAATCTTGAAGACATCTATCAAGACCGCTCATCAATCCAGGAAGCAAGTCCGGATGCATAGGTATTGGCAATAAAAAGAAAGCTTCCATAGTTTCATCGATAGTTCTTAGAACCTCCACCGCTGAAGGAGCAAAACCTTCCCTATTTGCTCTTGGGTTCCACACCTATAATAAAGAGGTGACGAAGTGTATTGAGTGAATGAAATGCAAATAGACATGTGAGTATGTGCATGCATAAAACCAAACCGAACCAAACAAGACGAGCACAGTATATCCCACCCGGAGGTGGGTTCG